CGGCAGTTAGCATCACAACCCCAGGAAATGTTCATGATGTCAGCTGCGAAGTATCAGTAGAACAGGTCGTCACTAACTAAATGAACAACTTAGTACAGAAATGTCATATGTATTAAAGCAAATCATACATCGTGACGGCTTCACATACACTTAAAGATCTTACATTACTCAAACTTAACTCTTGTGAAACTTTTGTTTTGTTAGAATGTTGTTCCCTCCTCATAAACAGACCTGGAGTTGTGTTTTGTTTCATTCATGTTTGAGTAACTCTGCATTATTAGTCTATATCTCCAAAGCTCAAAGTGCTCTGTTCCACCTTGTGATGTCATGAAGTGGTACTTTTTAAGTGAACAGCTCCTTTTACATTTTATTCTGTGCAGATCAACAATTCCACATCTGAAATCTTCCAAATGATTCTAGTGAAGGTGTGTGGAGTTGGAAAACGCAGAGAAGCCCGTCCTGTATTACCACATGACATCACAAGGGGGAGCAGTGTTTCCAGTTTGAGAGAAGAACTCAGCCTAAACATGCAGAGTTTGTGTGTTAACCTCGTCACACCTGATTTTACATCGATTAGGGATGTAACAATATCAAAATCCATCAAGGCGATATTTTCATGATATGCATCTCACTGTTCGATATTTATTGCGATATTTTGTGAAAGTTTACAGAATTGGGGACAGTGTTGGGAGTAACATGTTATAAAAGTAACAAATTACTGCAATACATTGCTTTTTTCTGTAACGCAGTAATGTGGCATTACAGGGGGAAAAATGTTAATATTTGACTCGGTACAAATGTCAGTAACATGTGTTACAATGCTTTATTACCTGGATTGACGTGGTGGATTTTTCTTCATACAAATTCGCTAAAATTACTGCGATATCAGCAGCGATGAAACACCGGAGACGCACCTGCGTAGACCATCAGGTAACCTTAAGTGAAAGGACCAACGCAGAAGTCCACGCTCCACCTACTTTAGTCCTGGTTCAGTCTTGGTTCAGTCCGGGTTCAGTTCTGGTTTAGTCCTGGTTCAGTCCATATACGGTGCAAAAGTTCAGCATCTTCACAGTTATTTGGTGAGAGTAACTTAAAAGTTCTGCAATAATGTAATGCTTAATATTTAAATACAGTAATATTGTAATGTAATGAATTACTTTGAAATGACACTAACAAGTCATAAATAACACATTACAGTTTAGTTTTTAGTGATTGTGAATATACCATGTTTTCTTTTAAAAGCCCTGGAAAAGCCTTGAAATGCCTTTGTCATAATATGAAGAATTATGTATTCATGTAGTCTGACAACACCAAAGGATCATGGTCTATGTAGTTCACTCTGTTTTACACCATGGCAAGGCAAGTTTATTTGTATAGCACAATTCATACACACAGTAATTCAAAGTGTTTTATAGATCAAGAAAGACATTAAAATCACAAAGAAAGACATTCAAATCACCATAACTATGAATTCAAGCAAAGAGACTTCTGATTCGATATATTGTGATAATCGACGATATTATTGTCAGACTTTTAATGATACGATAACACGATATTTCAGTTATTGTTACATCCCTAATATAGATGTATATAAAAATATATAAAACATTTTGTGTGTGTTTTTGCTTTTACGTAAATGGTAAATTAATTTGAGATTATTCATTTGACTATAGCAAAACAAGCAAACAAACAAACAAAAAATGTGTGTATGTTGCAAACGTGCGATAACTAGAAACACGTGCTTGCAAAAAGTTCCTAGGAAAGTCCTGTACACGCACTCACCTGCACTGGGGGAACGCAGCCACTGTCTCGGCTTATATCTTGATCCAAATGGTTTGTAGCATATTTGTGACAGTGGGCGTTAAGGGGATATATATGTGTGAATTAAAACAGAACTCCAGTTGGGTTTGTGATGAAAAAACAATATTACAGCATAGATCAGAAAAGAGCCTAATGTGAGCCCTTTAACGGTGTCACAAACCAGTGCTAGAGACAAAGGAAAGTAACACAAACAAGATGCAATGTAAAGTAAGTGGCTTTTATAAAGTAAATGTAAGTAAGTACAATAATAAAAAAAAGTGTGTTTTACATTCAATAAACGATAAATTTCCAATACAACTAAACAATAAGTCATGGGATAAGATAAATCAAAGAAAATACAAATGCGCAAAGGCCATGTCAAACTGGCAAATACAAACAAACAGTAGGTCTCAACACACAACACACAACACACTAGACCAGGGGTGTCAAACTCAAATTCAGAGGCCAAAATTAAAAACTGGGACAAAGTCGTGGGCAAACTGAAACTGAAATCCAGCCGCCAGAAGGGACAGGCCCACAGCACTTTTACTGGATGAGAGGTTGGTGGATCAAGAAGGGCACTGGAGGAGCGGGACGTCCATCCTCCAACCACGGCATGACAAACATCAGAGCCAGCCCAAAAGCGACGGGACCACACTCCACCACTCATGTACCAGGGACCACACAGCACATGCAAATACGGAAGGCACAAGCGGTAAAACAAATGGGGAGCGCCGGGCGAGGCGGAGCCAAGCCGTGGGCTCTAACACAAGATAACAAAGCCTGAACATTTTCACAAGAGCTCATCCTTGTTGCCTTCACTGTCTTTGGCTTCATCATCTTTGGAAGTAACTGCATCACTCGTGTCCGTCTCAGATTTGGTGCACATCGCCGAAGTCGAGTTCTTCTTTTGGAGCGGGACCTCGTGGTTGCTGACGGAACTCCTCATGGTGCTCCTACGCCTCGTGAACTCTGCCAGATCTTCCGCCAAGACGGTCTCCATGACGGCACTCAGAGAATGCCTTATCTTCGTGCACAGGTCGGGACAGCTAAACACGTACAAAATCGGGTTCAGGACGCTGTTGAGAAATCCAATCGTAGCGGCAGCCGGCATCGCTTTGGCTATGGGTATTTGCGAAGGATGCCAGAGTGACAAAGAGACCTCCATGATGCTCAGCACGTGGTAAGGAGCCCAGCAGATGATGAAGCTGACCACCACCGCGATGACTAACCGGACAAAACGGTAAGAACGCCGGCAACCTCTACGCGCTAAGATAGTGTTCACGATGACGTAGCTGGTGATGATGACAGCCAACGGAATCACAAATGCAAACATGAGCTTAAAAACCGCAAAAGTCTTTTCGCGGTATTCACACAGCTCTACCATGTTGAAAGGTGGACTCGGAAGCGAGCGGGCGTAGTGGTAGTAGCATTGCGTGTTCCCGTTGCGTTGTGGGATAGCATCACGGAAAATATAAAAGGGAATAGTGCACAGGAACGCCATGAACCATAATGCGCCACAAATTTTCATCACTAGCTGCTTTGTGCGGTAGTTTTGGGCCCAGACCGGTTTTAGCACGACCAGGCAGCGATCCAGGGAGATAGCGGCGAGCAGGAAGCCGCTAACGAACATGTTGAGAAAGAAGATGGAGGAGTGAAGACGGCAAAAGCCGTGGCCAAGCTCCCAAGTTTTACCGCGGCGAGGAAGAGGGTGAAGACAGGCAGGGAGGCGGTGGCGAGCAGGTCCGAGGTGGCGAGGTTCAGTATCCAGATGCTGATGATGGAGCGGCGTACGCGGAAGCCCACCACAATGAGGATCAGGAGGTTTTCCACGATGCCGATGGTGGAGAACAGGCCATGGAGAAAGATGGTGAAGACTCCCAGAGACGTGATGCTGGTGGTGTTGGGCCTGATGGTGATGTTAACCATGCCTTGGATGCGGGGGCAGTAGAGAGCCGGGTTAACGGGGTTACCGGACATCTTGGAGTCTTGAAATGGCCCTCAGCGTTCAGCGTGGATGATGTCTGGAAAAGAACATTTGGTTAGTGAAAAGATATCTTAAAGAATCTTAAAGAGGGGTATTACACTTTTATGGGTGTCGTGAACCCCCCCTCAGGAGAGCTCACTCGGGTGGGGTAAAAAGATGAAGGTTTTGGCGTAAGCCCCACTAAAAGGGCTCCTGAAATTCAGATGAAGATGTTCATGATGCTTTATTTTGATAAATGAATAACTGTTAGAGCATTAGAGATCAAGAGTGTTTGATTTAGATATTAGAAGTGTTTTTGTGACCCATATTAACATAAGTTACTTGTTCTGTTTTGATTTAATCTGATTTGTTTCTTTTATGTTGATTTGCTTAATTCTTTCAATTTAATTTTTAAGTTTAGGTTATTTTGCATTAATTTCTGTAACCGTTATGTTTGTGTGCAGGAAAGATAAGGGCCTTCTGTTCTTTTGACAGCTGACCTTTACTTGACATTGGTGTACGAAACCTATATGTTATGCGGCGCATGGGAGGCCTGTAAACAATGCGGGTGCGAGCTTCCTGCTCCTTCGACAAAGTGAGGTGGCAGCAACTTCACACCTGGCTGGGGGAGGAGCGTTGGGTGCTAGAATGGTGAAGATTGTGGTTTCTGAGAAGTGTTGCCTGTACTTGGAAATGTGTTCTATGTGTACTGATCACTTTGCATATACCTGGGTGGAGCCCTGTGACCCTAGATAAATATTGAAAATTCTGCATAATGATGAGATCCTGATTTTGGTTGGCATTGGCCCTCCGGCTGTAACTCGGCTAAGGAGTTCAGAATCTGCAATTCGGACTAGGCTGTGCTTTATAGCTTTCCTGGTCACAGGGTAATTTCTCCAAAAGGGTACTTGCAGAGTGATTTGTCCTAATTATTTTTGTATGAGCTTTCTGGTAAAATAGCGACTACGGAGTGAGTTGGTCATAAGTGCTCTGTCGTGAGCACTCCGGGCCTAAAAACCCTGAGTGATCACGAGTATAAAGAGTGACAACCAGTCACCGGAGTAGTGCATAAAATAATAAAAAGCAGAAAAAGTAAGAGAAAGACAAATCACTTGTTGGGATCTTTTGTTGAGTCTCTCCCTTAATTATTATACATATATATTTACCACGAGCAAGTCCAGTCGTCCTAGGTGAGTTACTTACAAAAACGCAATGTTTAGGAAATTTTCTAATGCAATGTTTTTGATGCAAAGCTAAATTTGGTTAGGGGTCTTGAGGCACTGCTAAGGATACATTAATATTTGCAATGTTTTTGGTGTAAAACTAAATCTGGTTAAATTCTTTGAGGCACTGTCAAAAATGTGTTTTGGGCAAATGTTGTCAGATAGAGAATAGAGCATTTCATAGAGTGGTTTCTAAAGCTAAGTGAAGTTGTAAGTGTTCCCCAGGTGATACTTAAGAGTTGTTAAAGTTACCTGTATGGTGTTTCTTACAGTTAAATGATCCTTTTTGAGTGTAGTCAGATATTTACCTTGTGTTATCGAAGTTAAACGATATTTTTTGAGTGTAGTAAATGATATTTTTGAGTATGCATTGTGGTTTTAAAGCTATGTGATATTTTTTGAGTGTAGTCAGAGTTATTTGCATTGTGTCTTTAAAGCTGAGTGATTTTCTGAGGGTTAATACAGTGATTAGAAAAAAGGTAGTGAGGCCCAGGCTGCGTAATTTAGCCCTGGTCCTTTCAACAATGGGACATTAACTATTAACATAAGGTAAGGTTCTTTATTTGTCATTCAAGCATGCGAGAGAAAACATGACAGAACAAAATGTGCTTCCCGAGGCCCAGTGATCCAGAGAGAGATAAAAACAATAATAAATAAGCAATATTAAAAAGTAAATATGTCAAAACAACAACATTTAGCAGTTCCAATGGACAAGTACAAGTAAAACGTGGCAAGATAGATAGAGAGGCAGCCCAAGCACGGAGTCAGTGTGCACTGTTCAAAAGTCTGACAGCCTCAGGAAAGAAGCTGAACTTCATCCGAGATGTTCTGGCTTTAATGCTCCTCAGTCTCCTCCCAGAGGGCAGAGGGACAAACAGGTGGTGAGAGGGTACGAGGGGTCCCCCATGATCCTGGAGTCCCATCTTCTACAACACTCCTCATAAATGTCACTGATGGGTGTAAAGTCACATCCAGTGATCTTCTCTGCCGCTCTGACCACACGCTGTAGAACTGTCCTGTCCTGGGCTGAGCAGTGGCCGTACCACACTGTGATGGACTGGGTCAACACACTTTCCACTCCACATCGATAAAAAGACCTGAGAGCAGAGAGGCCTGGTCCAGCAGCCTTGAGTCTCCTCAAAAAATACAGATGCTGGTGGTCCTTCTTAATAATGCTAGTAGCTGTATTAGTGGACCAAGTTAGGCTGTCGGTGATGTGCAGACCCAGACACATCCAGCAGGACACCCTTTTAACTTCTGTACCCATGATGTAGAGAGGCGGCGGTGAACAGCTGTTCCTCCTAAAATCCACTATCAACTCCTTCGTTTTTTAAAAGTTTCAGGCAGAGGTTGTTCTCTCTGCACCAAGTCTCCAGCAGCTGTATCATATAATAGAATCACAGTGTTACCTTTTATTGTTTTGAAATATTTGCTTAAAATAGCATATAAACATATTTTATTTTTTAAGTTTCACAAAATGTTTTGGTGCTCTGAGTTTCTCTTCCCTTTATTCTCTTTGTCACTCCTGATTCAGAGTAGCCTGTTTCATCAGCCAGTTTCTAAGAAGTGAAACTGACCTTGCAGCATTACGATTCATTTGCTCAACGGTAGGTGGGTAGTTTATTATTTAACCAATCGTTGCTATGTTGTCATGATGTATGTAATGCGTCGCTAATGGGGCTTACAGGTATTTTAAGCTTTTCCCAAATCCTGTAGGAAGAAGGACAATAACATCTTTCCCCTTGATAAAATTCACCAAACATTCTCTTTGTTCCGGTTTTAAATCCTCGATCTCAGGAGTTGTTGCCAACACAGAATGTACGACTCTTCGCCGATTGGCTGATGCCTGAACTCACACTTCCGGGGTTTTCGATAACTGTCTAGTGTATTCTGATTCCTCAGAGCGCGATCACAACACAATCAGCGTACATCCCCCTCATGAACCTCCTGCACATCACATCAGGTTTGAAGCTGTGTACAGTTTTGTGTCATGTTTTTGTATATTTCTGTAGAATAGTCGTGTGGGAGCATGAGTGACGTAGGCTTGTGGGAGGAGCACTGGACAGAATCTTAGAGTTAAAGGTTGTATGGAGGATTTTTTTTTGTTCCAAATTGTCAATGATAGCATTATAGAGGTGCAGTAGCCTTGTAATTATGATGACCAAAAAAAAAAGAGAATAAAAATTCATCAACTCTGGACGTGGTGGGGCTAAACATTTGCCAATAGATAACGACACTGCCTCGTTATCTGTGAGCTGACAGGCTGTCAATCAAACTCCCTACGTTTCTAGCGTAACTGACTTGCCTGCGCGCTGCCATTACGTGGTTTACGTACGCCTGTCACACAGTTGCTGTTTACTCCACCAGCGCAACGGTTCTTAGTGGCTGTTTTGACCTATATCTTCCTTGCAGTTCACACAAAGTTTGTTGCAACGGCAGACAAGAATCCAGGAGCAGTTCACCGCAAAAGAAAGTCCGTTTTTGAGGTCGCTGAAAGAAGAATTCAAGGGGAAAAGCAGCGAAGCCAAACTAAGGTGATTCTTGGAGATTCATTCCAGCGATGGCGCAACTGAAGCAGACAAAGGGTCTAAAGACTGACGCACTGGTCGCCAAATTACTCCTGGACAGGAACTTCTGTTTATTATGAAAACGTACTTTATTTCCAAGAGCTAGTCAAACGTTTTTCAGGACACGAATGTGATATCCTATGTCTGAAAACGTCATTTTCAATGCAAAGAAAGAGTCCGCTTGCTGCTGCGTGTTGTAGTGGTAGCTAGTTCATTCGCACTGAATCTCCGCGCACCCCCCTCTGCACCCCTTCCTGCTCCTGTCCCCGCTCCCTGTTCCGCTCTTCCCCCCGCTCCTTACTTCTCCACCTTGCCTAACCAACACTGTAGTTAGTTGTTTACAAGTCATGTGCGGCGATGAGTACTTGTTTTCTAAAAACAAAGCTGTTTCTGGCGTAAGGAGGAGGAGGGAGGAGGCGTTTCTACGTAGGGAGCTGTAGGGGAGGGGGGGTGGTTTCACGCATGCGCAAAATTTGAAAAAAGGACAAACAGTTGCTGGATTTCTCGTTCCTTGGAAAATCCTCTATACAACCTTTAACTGTGTGGATGGTTTGAATATGGCTCAGGAGAGATCACAAAAATTCTCAAACATGGATGACACCTAAAACCTCTTAAGGAATGATTATGAAGAGTGAACAACTTTACAACATGGTAGAAACCAAAAGAAAAAAATAAATAAATTAGGGCCGGGCACGGTAACGCGTTAACTTTGCGTTAACTAATTAAGTCATTAATGCCGACAATTATTTTAACGCCGTTAACGCAGTTTTTATTATTTATTTTATTGTAAACGTCTGTTTCTCACTGGCTTTTATTTTGAAAAAGTCCACCAGAGGGTTTCTTTAAGTTTGACGTCTTTTCTTTACACTTTTTTCACTTTTTTTTGACCACGTGAGATGCAACGTGCCCGAGCCTCCGCTAGCCGCGGGCCCGGCCGCAGGCTTCGACTCCCGTCGCAGCTCCGGCCGCGGGCTCCGGCCGCGGGTTCGACCGTGGGCACCGGCTCTGGCCGTACCAGCCGTGTGCTCTGAGCTGAGCTTATTTCTTTAGTTCAGTGCTGGAGTAACTGATTTACCCAGATACCAATGGAAGAAAACATGTGATTGGTCCATTTCCATTCCATTATATTAACCCTTTGTTTCCTAAGAAATATCAGTCCAAGTTTATAACACTGAGAAAAACGAAAATTATTATTAGTGTAGTGTTCATTACTCACAGCATAAAAAATATTCAATAAATATATTAGTAGTACAAACGTCCATTCAGTA